TAACAAGGGGACGATGACAGTTCCTGGCACTAACAAGGGGACGATAACAGTTCCTGGCACTAACAAGGGGACGATGACAGCTCCTGGCACTAACAAGGGGACGATAACAGTTCCTGGCACTAACAAGGGGACGATGACAGTTCCTGGCACTAACAAGGGGACGATAACAGTTCCTGGCACTAACAAGGGGACGATGACAGTTCCTGGCACTAACAAGGGGACGATGACAGTTCCTGGGGACGATGACAGTTCCTGGCACTAACAAGCACTAACAAGGGGACGATAACAGTTCCTGGCACTAACAAGGGGACGATGACAGTTCCTGGCACTAACAAGGGGACGATAACAGTTCCTGGCACTAACAAGGGGACGATGACAGCTCCTGGCACTAACAAGGGGACGATAACAGTTCCTGGCACTAACAAGGGGACGATGACAGTTCCTGGCACTAACAAGGGGACGATAACAGTTCCTGGCACTAACAAGGGGACGATGACAGTTCCTGGCACTAACAAGGGGACGATAACAGTTCCTGGCACTAACAAGGGGACGATGACAGTTCCTGGCACTAACAAGGGGACGATGACAGTTCCTGGCACTAACAAGGGGACGATGACAGTTCCTGGCACTAACAAGGGGACGATGACAGTTCCTGGCACTAACAAGGGGACGATGACAGTTCCTGGCACTAACAAGGGGACGATGACAGTTCCTGGCACTAACAGGAAGTGTAACACCTAAATGGTATTAAACTCATAGATGCCTTAGTGGTTATTGTCAAGATTAAACCCATATTCGAGGTGGTTTGTTCACACAGTTAATGAAGGATGAACAAGTAAGAACAATAACTGTATAACAACGAATCCTCGGGAATAATGGGGGTAAGGGGGAGGTTTGACAAGCCGTTGGCCTCCTGTCCCCGTCGAGGTCACCAGAGATGGTGGCCCTCAGGTAAATCCAGGTAAATGCGATAATTAGTTTTAAGTTGCTGTGGTACAATCCAGTACACAAGTCTACCAGGAAACAAAAAAATATTAAAACTTGTAGTACTATTGACAGCATTAGTACTAATGATAGTACTAGTACTAGGGGGGGGGGAAATAAGCTTATTCTCTAAAAGTGTGTCCAAACCCAAGTTAAAACACTGCTGTCTCAGCGGTATTCGAACTCTGGTTCTTTGGAAGTTTAGGTGAAAACAATGGCCACTCTACCAAATGTAAGTCACTATAAGATGGCCTTAGCTGCCTTGAAAGACGAGCACGAGGCCTTCGACAAGCGTGACCAAGGTGGTATTACAAACCAAATAAGCACAAATGGAATTACTGGCAAGGTAGGAAGATGGATTTTTAATTATCTAACGAAGAGAACCCAGTGTATAATAGCCTTACCTGGATAGGGTTCTGGGAGTTGCTCTACTCCCCAGACCCGGCCTGGGACCAGACTTGACTTGTGAGAGCGTGGTTTGACGGTCCGACGGTCCGACAGAATATTTCTTAACCCGCCGGCCCACATATCCTCTACAGCCCGGCTGGTCCGGCGCTTCTTGCAGGACAATTTGTTTTCTCTTTAAGAAGTCCACATTTGTTTCGGCAATATTTCTTATACTCGCTGGGAGGATATTGACCAACCCTCTCATGTTCATACAGTGCTTTTTGATTGTGCTTATGGCACCTCTTGTTCTTCACTGGTTCTATTCTGCATTTCTTTCCATATCGTTCATTCCTGTATGTTAGTTTACTGTACAAATTTGGGACCGGGACCTCCAGTATCTTCCATGAGGTATCATGTGGTACCTCTCTGGTCTCCTTTCTGGAGAGTACATTTTGAGAGCTTTGAGACGGCCCCAATAGTTTAGGCGTTTTATCGTGTCTATGTATGCCGAATATGTTCTCTATATTTCCTATTTTTCAGCAATTTTTCCTGCTCTGAAGAGGGAAGTGTTTATCGAATAGTTACCAAGGCGGGACAGCACCAGTGATATAAATAATACAACCACTGTGATGGGATCCCTGGAGTTGAAGTTTCTCGTAATCCATCCTATCATTTTTCTAGCCGACGCAATATTTGCTTAGTTTTGCCCTCTAAATGTTAGTCGTCATTATTCCCAGATACTTTACACGTGGCTTTCCTACTATGGCTACATCTGACTGTCTTGTATCCTGTATTTTGTTTAAGGTCTTCATTTTTCCATACATAAGTACCCGGAATTTATCTCTGTTAAACATTGTTATTTTCCGCTTCTCTATCGAAAATGCTATTATGATCAGTTCGTAGTTTTCAATGTGTCCTACACAAGTCATTTTCATGCTGATTATTTGTGTCATCTGCAAAAGACGGCACGAAGCTGTGACGTGTAATTTTTCTTTATATCTGATAGGAGAATAAGAAAAAAAAAGTGGACTGTGCCCTGTGGTACAGAGCTTATCACTGTGCTTAGTCTTTGTATTGTGTGATTAACGGTTGCTCTCAGCGTTGCGTCTGGCTGGAAATAGAATATGCACAGCCCTACTTTACCTCGCTATTCCTACCGATCTCATTTTATGTGCTATAACTCCATGCTCACATTTATCAAATGCCTTTGCCAAGGCAGAACATACCACATCTGCATTTTGCTATTCTTCTAACGCTTCCGTGATGTTGTCATAGTGGTCGAGTAGCTGGGAAAGGCGTGATCTTCCCGCTCTTAAATCCATGTTGACCTGGGATGTGGAGGTCAGTGATCTCCATATATCTAGAGATCTGACTCCTGACCACTCTTGCAACAGCTTTTCATTGATTGACACGTTAGTGCAACTAGTGTGTGTGTGTGTGTGTGTGTGTGTGTGTGTGTGTGTGTGTGTGTGTGTGTAGTTTTGGTCTACAGGTTTTTAGCCAATGCTTTCCTCCTTTTCTTGTGTAGGAAAGATATAATTGCTGATTTAAGTGCTTCTGGTATCTATATTTTGTCCTAGTCAATCCTCATTATTAAAATTCAATTCATTGATTAACCCCTCTCGTTTGATAATTTTTTGTTTAGCATTTTACGAGTATTAACGTTAGTTTGCACTCCAATGAGCTTGTGATGTGAGTTTGTGGCATCTGAGAGTGTAATATCCCTGATTATTGCTTCATCATTTGTGAAGATCTCGTCTACAGTATTTTCGATCCTGTTGACTCTGTTATCTGTTGAGTGAATATAGTGGAATGTGGTGACAAAATGGTGACACAATGCCGAGTGTGGTGACAGAATGGTGACAAGGGGTCTCTGTAGCCCAGTGGTCTGCGTCATCTGGGGCTCACGTTTCATCCAGGTGTGGGGAGGCATCGTTCGATTCTCTCTTTAAGTCCCACATGACCTCAGATGTTGGTCACGCTTGAGTCCCACATCTGACACCAGCATCCAGACGCAACTAAGTCATCTCCTGAGGGAGCAGGAACTTTGGTTAAACAATCATTACGAACACACCGATGATCACAAGACGCCGAAGCCGAGAGCGCGAGAGAGAACGCGGACAACTGTACCACCACCAGCGTTGCCAGGCCTTAGCAGGGCGATTCAATTCCCTTCAACAATTCAATCAACGTAATCAACTCGCGTGCAATGCTGCAGAGGCGACATTCCGACGTAATTAACTGCTCCTACACAATTTGCAAGATAGGGCGTGGGGTGGGCGTAAAGACGCGGGCGTACGGAAGACTACCCTAGCGTAATGAGCGCTGGTACCGGTAGGGTGGTGGTTGTGGTAGTAGAATAGTGGTAGTGCGGCAGTATTGTGGTAGAAGGAGTGGTAGCGCAGATGGCGGCCGCCACCTCCCACAGCGAGGCCCTCAACAAACAACTAACTACCTCTGTGAGTAACAAGACACAACACTCCCAGCCACTTTAATATATTAAACACAAACACACAATCATTTAATATATCAACTGCTCTTCCTATCTTCAATCTCTGCTGGAACAAAACTACCGCCGCGATCCTATTAAATATTATTTGAATTTCAAGTGAGGCACAACTTTATGGCCATTCTTCCTAAATTCCCAAATAAATTCAAATGTAAATTACCTGCGACTGGTGCCATATACGGTATCAGAGCACTTTTACCGCCATCCAGTAAGCAGCGAGTATATCAATTCAGAATATAACGGGTTTCTTTTGGTATACTGGTGCCTTTATCGGAGGCGCTCCATATGTCTCCGGCGACGCTGCTGGTCATTTGGAGAGTCGTGATTGGGGGACCAGGCCATTCAAACACCCGTAAAACACCTTCCACAGATGCTGCAGTGTGACCGAGGGGTGGGCGAGGCATCACTCTCTCACACACCTGGAGACTCCAGTCAGCGGGTCCCATCCCGGGGCTCCTGGAACCCGTGCTGGGGCTTCCGGGAGAATTGGCCCAAGTTTGCGACAAGGAACAACTTGAAACCTTATCATTTAAGACGCGTTTCATATTATTTGCATATTTATTAGCCGAATATTAAGATTAGACATTACAACCCTCCAGAGGCTGCCAGGCCCCAACAACCCTCCAGAGGCTGCCAGGCCCCAACAACCCTCCAGAGGCTGCCAGGCCCCAACAACCCTCCAGAGGCTGCCAGGCCCCAACAACCCTCCAGAGGCTGCCAGGCCCCAACAACCCTCCAGAGGCTGCCAGGCCCCAACAACCCTCCAGAGGCTGCCAGGCCCCCAACAACCCTCCAGAGGCTGCCAGGCCCCAACAACCCTCCAGAGGCAGCCAGGCCCCAACAACCCTCCAGAGGCTGCCAGGCCCCAACAACCCTCCAGAGGCTGCCAGGCCCCCAGCAACCCTCCAAAGGCTGCCAGGCCCCCAGCAACCCTCCAAAGGCTGCCAGGCCCCCAACAACCCTCCAGAGGCTGCAAGGGCCCCCAACAACCCTCCAGAGGCTGCCAGGGCCCCCAACAACCCTCCAGAGGCTGCCAGGGGCCCCCCAAGAACCTCCAGAGGCTGCCAGGGCCCCCAACAACCCTCCAGAGGCTGCCAGGGCCCCCCAAGAACCTCCAGAGGCTGCTAGAGCCGGAGTCTAACACGAGACCCAGCAAATAAGGACTCACCTGCTTCGCTGGTGTTGTCTGCAGACTGCTGGGAGGCGGGTTGGTGGGATAGAGGTCCCGGGGTGCCGCCCGACCCAGGAGATCGGGCGTCGTCCCCGCCCGTGCCCCCAGAATATGACATTGACGAAGATGGCGGCCGCTGTGGACAGAGAGAGACAGAATACCATGAGACACAAACACTGGCTCACAGACAGTTGTTCACAGTACTGCCTGCAGGACACCAGACCTTCGCTGGCAAGTCTTACAGGCAAAAAAATAAAAAAATTATTTTATATATATATATATATATATATATATATATATATATATATATATATATATATATATATATATATATATATATATATATATATATATATATATAATTACATTAGTATATTTTGGTAGCAGTCTTTCCTGTAGGCATATATTATTGAAAGTTAAGAAAAACTTAATTAAAATAGAGAAGAGTCATACAAGAATCATTGATTTCACCCTTTCGGTCACCATATACAGTATATATATATATATATATATATATATATATATATATATATATATATATATATATATATATATATATATAGGGTATTTATTATATAACATATTATGTATGTTACGTATTAGGGTATATATATTGGGACAATGGGGGTACATGTTATATAATTTGCAGGCAGTATTTCTTATATATGATGGAAGAAAGGTTGGAGACTAGTGGACCTCTGACGTTAGCATCAAGTACGAGATAAGCGCTGGGGCATCGCGCCAGTCTACCACGAGAGCCACACGTCAACAGGATAACATCAGCGTCATGTGCAAAATTGACAAATGTACGAACCTTACAAAGTAGATACAACATAAACAATACTACTGCAGCACGTACACAAGACTTACACGAAGTATGCAGCCACAACAACGAGCAAACACTGTGAAATGCAACTAAAGACCGAGAATGTCCGAAGAAACAGCCAGACGAGACTTGATTACTGCCTACAAAATACTCAGGAATGTAAACAAAACTATCTGCTTAGGAACGAGACAATAGGGTACATTTTAAATGCAAACAAGTACCATAAAAGTACTGAGCAAGTGCAGAGTTTCTTCCACTCTGATGCCTCTGTTCACCTAGCAGTAAATAGGTACCTGGGAATTAGACAACGGTTACAGGCTGCTTCCTGGGGGAGGGGGGGTTGTAACAAAAAGGAGGCCCTGGTCGAGGACCGGGCCGCGGGGACGCTAAGCCCCGAAATCATCTCAAGACAACCTCAAGAAGTGAAGATATGGTCACGTTCACGAGACTCGAGTACCAGCACTATGTGACTGAGAGCTTGGAGACGGGGCCCAGGAGCTACAGATCTTTCCTCACAAATACAATTTCGTCAAAACTTACAAGTATACACAATCTCCCTCAAACAGCACTCAGCAGTCGTAATACTAAGAGCCCGAGTTCGATTGCCGGTTGAGGGACGGGGGGAAGAAAGAAACTTGCAGTTTTTTCACCTGATGCCCCTGTTTACCTTGCAGTAAATAGGTAACTGGGAGTTGGAAAGATGCTACGGAGAGAGAGAGAGAGAGAGAGAGAGAGAGAGAGAGAGAGAGAGAGAGAGAGAGAGAGAGAGAGAGAGAGAGAGAGAGAGAGAGAGAGAGAGAGAGAGAGAGAGAGAGAGAGAGAGAGAGAGAGAGAGAGAGAGAGGAGAGAGAGAGAGAGAGAGAGAGAGAGAGAGAGAGAGAGAGAGAGAGAGAGAGAGAGAGAGAGAGAGAGAGAGAGAGAGAGAGAGAGAGAGAGAGAGAGAGAGAGAGAGAGAGAGAGAGAGAGAGAGAGAGAGAGAGAGAGAGGGGGGGGGATATGTAGCAGATAAGATAAAATTAGGTCGTGAGTCAGTATATTAGGTTGGAAAGGCGGGGACCAAGAGCTATAACAGCTCGATCCTATAGGCACAAATAGTAAATACAGAGAACCGTATGGCCGCAGACGACAGGCAAGCGACGAGCACAGTCCCAAACTATACGGACCAGTCTCCGGGCTGTGTACACCTGCACACCTAATGCACACCTGCACACCTAGTACACACCTGCACACCTAGTACACACCTGCACACCTAGTGCACACTTGCACACCTAGTGCACACCTGCACACACCTAGTACACAGCTGCAGAAGGGTTCAAACCCTCAGAATATATTCAATTCACGTAAACCGAACCCAAATAAGATATCAAATGTTGTGTTTTATATATGATATACACAAGGTGCGCCATGACACTATAACTTCGTCATTTTATTCCGGCTCAGGTTTGGGATCCGACTAGATAAATGGCTAATCGATTTTAACCACAATGTAAAGTAATGAGACCGGGGAGGGGGGGGGAGGGGACGGAGGGGGAAGGGGAGAAGGAGAGAAGGGGAGAAGGGGAGAAGGGGGGGGAAGGGGGGAGGGGGCAACAGAAAAGGCATCTAACTCCATGTACCGCCCAGAGCCATCCATGACTATCACCAAAGGGTACACACACACACCCCCCATGGACCTCGGGAAAGTTTTCAGAAACCTGAATATGACAGCCTTCAGAACACTGTAAGCTACCTACCTGAGACCGCTCGTTACAGTATGCAAGTACAGTACTGACAACGGCATGAATCCTCACCTTCGAAACAAAGGCAGAAAACAAAGAGAGAGGAAAATACAGTACAGCGATCTGGTGCGGATTGGTCCTCGAGCTGAGGAGGTTGAACTTCGATGAAGGGCTGAAGGCACTTCGAGTTCACAGCCACAGAAACAGAGCGAAGAAAGGTCGCGTGGCCAAGACGCACAAGATTCTTGCTGGCGCTAACAGGACACCATCGACACAGTCTACACAGCACCGCTCCTGTGCCAGGTAAGTCCACTACGGGCTCACCATAGCCTATGCTACTTGGAACTTGTTCCGAGTAGCTGAATCTGTAACAACAACAACAGGATACCAGAAGGGTACTAACTCGTCAAGATGTTTAGCATTACCACCAACACACTGACTGACCAAGAGACCCCCTGGTAATTCATACAAATGGAAAGAAACGTTGATGTAGTGTGACGGGTGGAGTGTAACTGTGTCAGGTGACCGGACCAGTCCCACAGGGGAGTGCCCTGCCACACTATTCCCGGTTACCTTGCAATGAATTCGTCCCCGCGGCCCGGTCCTCGACCAGGCCTCCTACCTGATACGAAGGGAGGAAAGGGACAATTTTCTTCAATTAAATGTTTGCAGGCAATGCAAAGATAATTGAAAGTTTTTTGGTATAATGCGATGGTATCGAACTCTCGTGTCGGGACACTCGTGATAATAAATACATCCCACTAGTGCCATTACACTGTGCACTACAACGACTAATTACATGATGTCTGCAATAAACAAGAATGGTCCTATAATTAGCTACAGGAGATCAACTTCAGCAAGTGTAAAGTAATAATGTTATGGAGTGGGGATGGTGGCCGTACACAGCGGGACACCTTGCTAAGAAACTCTTTCAGAAGTCAGATAGGCCTACGAGTTACAACACCTGGCAATAGACACCATGCCAAACCATTCTCCTAATGCACACACACAAACTGGATAACATCAGAGGCACATGCAAGGCTAGCAAACGTAAAGACTGCATTCAGGAATCTGCACAAGGAATCATACGGAACACTCTACACAACGTATGTCAGACCAATTCTTGAGTATGCAATGCCTGCATTGAACCCTCACCTCATCAAGTATAGAAAGAAGCTGGAAAAAGTTCAGAGGTTTGCCACCAGACGGGTCCCAGAACTGAAAGACGTGAGCTACGAGGGTAGACCGAACCTCACATCACTGGAGGAGAGAAGAAACAGAGGACACATGATCACGATGTACAAGATCCTTAAGGGTATGGGCAAGCTAGACAAAGACAGACTGACATTAACCAAAGTGGCATTATAAAGAACTCCGAAGTAAAAAGCAAAGGAGTAAAACACTGTACATGGGCTGAAATGTAGCCAAGATATACCTGGATTGTACCTGAACGGGGTTCTGAGAGTTCTTCTACTCCCCCAAGCCCGGCCCGGGGCCAGGCTCCATTTGCACCTGTGATATGATAAAAGTTACTAGACAAGGACACCAATTCGAGTTAAACAGAGCTAAAGGAACAGTGAAACAGGAGCTGAACCCTCCGCGAGCACAATCAAGTGCAAGTACACACACACACACACACACAGACACACACACACACACACGCACACACACACACACGCGCGCGCACACACACGCGCACACACACACACACACACACACGCACGCGCACGCACACGCACACACACACACACACACACACACACACACACACACACACACACACACACACACACACACACACACACACACACGCACACACACACACACACACACACACGCACACACACACACACACACACACACACGCAGGTGCGCACGCACACTCCACATGTTTTTTAAAGCCAGACTCTGCAAAAGACGCCAGGAATTAACATATTCCACAACAGGTACAACAAAGCTTGTGGACGGGGCATTACACCCTACACCTTCCTCCCCCACCATTAGTTACTCATGGGTAAGTACCGATACGTAAGCACGAGCTATGCCTCCCTATTTCCACACCCTTTTTAGGTATGCGCACAAACTACCCACAGCACCTCTTTTTACCCTTTTATGTCGCTCAACCTCTTCCATCCCCCCCCCCCCCTCGCCACCCCCTCCACCACAACCTTTGCAACCCGGTCTCCCCCTCTCCCGATCCCTTGAAGAATTCTCGACCCTCACCCTCCTACACATCCCTCCTCCATCAGCAACAACAGCCCCAAGAGCAGCAACAGCAGCAGCCCCAAGAGCAGAAGCCCCAAGAGCAGCAGAAGCCCCAAGAGCAGCAACAGCAGCAGCCCCAAGAGCAGCACCAGCATCTCCAGGAGTCCCAGCAGCAGCCCCAGGAGCAGCAGCAGCAGCATCCCCAGGAGTCCCAGCAGCAACAGCAGCAGCAGCAGCAGCAGCAGCAGGAGCCCCATGAAGAGCAGGAGCAGGCGAGGTCAGAGGGAGGGGAGGCATGGTAGGCGGTGAGCGAGGAATACCAATGGGTTGTGGTGGGCATGTTGCTGGCTATATTCTGCTACTCCAGCGATAACCAGGATAAAGTGT